TCTGTTTCTATTTACAAGGCGTCCAGTCTTGACGGAGACCAGCCATCTGCGCAGGACAGGATTATAGTGCGCGAGTGTATGCATAAGCACAACTGTGCACTCTCTATTCTCTCACTCTCATAGGCCAATGTGCCGGTAATTCGATAAGACAGGAGAAAGATCGGGCGCAGGATCAACGGCTTTACGTGCTTTCCGAGACACGAGGGTGAAATACCGCCAACTTCCTGACTCCGGGTTGCTACTAGGAATTTCTTAACGGAAAATAACTGATTTTTGGTCCGACCCGGGATTCAATCCCGGTAACTTATGATAAGCAATCGCCTTTAACACCACTAGACCAACGAGGCTATCGTCAACGGAGTTACATATGTTTGTGATTATTTTCAAAAAATAGCTCTTGCCACTATGAAGAAATTGTTGTTGTACAAACATATCTAATATATAAAAATTAATATTTGTTTGTTCGTATTTTATGCGCTGACATACCGTGCGTCAGATTGTGATAACTTACACGTACTTTGTCAACAATTGCTTGCACTTCCAGCATAGTTGGATTCGGTAGGTGGCACTGTTGTAGAATCCAGATATCATCCGTGTGAAGCCGGGCAGATTGCTAGTAGGAAATATTTTTAACAAAAATCTTTATTACAAATATTTTTATTTAAAACGTTATTGTAAAATCATTTACAGTTGCAAAATTCATCATAATCATTACAGCCCTTCACAAGTCCACTGCTGAACATACGCCTCCCTCAAGGAATGCCACAAAGCACGGCCCTGAGCCACCTGCATCCATCAACTTCCTGTATGTCTTAACAGGTCTTCACTCCATCTAGTGGGGAGTCGCCCTACACTTCACCTAACCTTACGAGGCTGCCACTCGAGAACCTTTTTTCCCTAGTAGTTGTCGGTTCTTCGAACTATGTGGCCGGCCCATTGCCACTTCAGCTTACTAATCTGTTGGGCTATGTCGGTCACTCTGGTTCTACTGCGGATATCTACATGTCTAAGTTTATCACGCAGAGAAACCCCGAGCATAGCTCTCTCCATAGCTCGCTGAGCGACCTTGAGCGTCCTCATATGACCAGCAATGAAGAACCACGTTTCAGTTTCATAAGTCATCACTGACAACACGAACTGGTTGTACAATCTCATTTTCAGATTTTGATGTATAGCTGACAAGAAGATGTGTCGTAATTTCCCGAACGCTGCCCAGCCGAGGATAATACCGTATCCTTTCCAGTCCAATAGCTTGAAAACGTCTTCCAATGCAGCGGTGAAGAGTTTCGGGGATATAACGTCACCCTGTCTTACACCTCTCTGCAGTTGGATAGGTTTCGTACTCTGGTTCTCTACTCGAATAGCCATCGTAGCCCTACTTTACAAATACTTCAGTACCTCGATATACCAACAGTTAACTTGGCACCGTTGAAGGGACTGTAGCACCGCCCAAATTTCGACGGAAAAGGCTTTCTCATAGTCCTAATACGCCAGACAAAGTGGCAGATTTCACTCTTCGGTCTTCAACTCACCGCTTTCTCTTTTGCCTAGTTTTGCGTTGAAGCCATCAACACCATATAATGGGTATTGGAAGAATGCATGGATCTAGAGATATCCTCATATATTTCCTCCACCTCCTCATCGGGATGTGCCGAGGTTGGTGCCTGTATGACCTTTAGCGTATACCGTTTGGTGATTCTGAGTATCAGGTACGCAACCCTCGTTGACATACTCCCAATCTTTACAACGTTGTTGACAAGAGACTTGTAGACGATAAATCTGACACGTCCTTGGGACAGATGGTCGCCCTCCCGGTGATAGAACAAGCTGTCGAATTCGAGAATCACCGTGTCCTTTCCCTCTCTTCGGACCTTGGATAATCCTATCTATAATATGCCAGGGCAATTTGTCTACCTCTTCTTCCAGCTCCAGGATCTTCTCGTGAGTCCTCAGGTTGCGTGAGTTGTATGTTGTCAGGTCGAATCGTCTTAGATGGTAACCGAACTTCCACCTGCACCCCCTTAGCTCCTTCTTAGCACCCCCTGACCTGCCGTGACCATGGTCGCCACCATAGCCAGGAATAGCGGGTTGCTGGGGACTGGGGGCCGTTTATTTGTGTCGTTGCTCATGGGGGATTTTTGCTATAGTTGCCACGCTTGGCGAGTGGGTTAGAAATCGCAATTTTTATTGTATAATTATTTGATCAAAGCACCTTACCTGTAAGTGTCTTTCGATCAAAATTATATGAAGTTGTCACTTCCTCTGTGTTTGTATGCTATGTAGTCATGAATTGACGGACCGAATCATAAGAGTTTTAACCTCCCAGGGGAAAAATAATATTTTTACTGGTATCCCAACCTATACGAACTCCCACTAGCAATACTATACACCTCATGTCATTGTGAATTTATATCCACTAGAATTAGAATTAACTAGAACTAGATTAGAATTATAACGTAACCTTGTATCTCTAATTTGGTACTTGTTAATAAAATAATGGTTTAAAGCAATTTTCCTTTAATACAACATTGACTGGTAAGTTTTTGAGGTTGAGATTGCTGTGTGAAACAGAATCTTTATCTTCTTCTTCACATGAGCAAGTAATTTGTCTCCTTTTTTGCCCACGAAAGTGAGTAATATTATTTGTGAAAATACCCTCGTGTACCCACCAGTGGTACCGCGAGTATAACAACCCTTGCATACATTTTTGTAGTAAGAAGAACATATGAATATTCATGAGAAACATAATCCAATGTCTCATGCACCCCCTTATGGCACCGCGAGGCAGATATGTAATGTCTCATACATAGATATTATATTGTATATGTAAGCAATGATATATATATATATAAAAAAAAAATTTGGTACTAAATATGAACGTATGAAAATTCATAAAAAATGAAATTCAATGTCTCGTTTACCCCCCTCGTGGCACAGCAAGAGATATGTAATGTACAGAATCTCGTTCTGTCTCTTACACAGATTTTATATTGCGAGTTTATTACGCTGTGAAGCAGTGATATTATTTTCTACTTGTTTTAATATCATTGACTGTAAGTGATAAATTAAAATGCATCATAAAATCATATATATATATATATATATATATATATATATATATATATATTTGATTGAAAAAGTATGTATAGACGCTCGTTCTATTTCATACATACGATTTCATATTTTACGTGGTATAAAACTATCCTGCAGCTTATTTACATACATATGCAAAATACGCATTCCGTATATAAATACAATATACATATTAAGATTATTGAAACATTATGTACTTATAGACGCTCGTTCTGTCTCATATATAGATTTCACATTTCACGTTATAATTAGATTAACATTTATTATATAGATCCTACAAATTATTTAAATGCAAAAAATTACATACATTGAAATCGTCCAAAACGTTTATGAGTGTTTCAATAAGTTTTTGCTAATAATAAAATCTGGAACTTTCACTTAAAAACCCAATTTTAAACTTTTAATGTGAAGATGCGACTCACCGATTCGGCACGAAAAATTCACACTGACGTGAGGTATATAGTGTTGCCAGTGGGAGTGCATATAGGTTGGGATACCAGTAAAAATATTATTTTTCCCCTGGGAGGTTAAAACTCGTGTGATTCGGTCCGTCAATTCATGACTACATAGCATACAAACACAGAGGATGTGTCAACGAATATAATTGCTGTTATCAGGAAGATGCTACTGCCTATCTCCTGCGTGCCTCCAACTTCTATAGAGATAGGAGGATGTTATAGGATAGAGATAGAGGCGTCGTAAGAGGCGACAGAGGTCGCCTCTTACGACACCCACGGGAAGATATGGGGTAGTGGATATTCTCAACTGCCACTTCACGGTACCTTTTAATTTTGATTGTGGATAATATTGTGTTAGCATTGAGCTACGTATTGTTTTTATCTGTACAAATGCTCCGTGCAGGAACAATCAATCAAAGTCAAGTTCATGCGCTTCGACGGCGTGTATCAATATAGTGTACTTCATAACATGTTTTAAATTACAAAAGAAGTTGAATAAGCCTAATTGTGTATGAAAAAAAAATATTTTAATATAGTTAACAAATTTTCTGAGTGATCAAACTTAGTATTAATTGGATTACAGTTTATTTTTGTTAAGTAACTGTATATAAGTCACGAATATTTCATGAATGAAACTCAATAAATCAAAGAAAAAAATGTTTTAAATTTGTATTAGCAACTTTCTTAAATATAAAATCGACCGAAAGAAAAACTGCTGCATCTGTTACAATTAAGCATATACTATCTTTTGTACGTGTGGTTCACGATTTCTTCTTCAATTGCGAACTGTCTTTAATTATTACTTTTTATTACATTGCTAAAGGTTGAATATAGGTTATCAAAGGTAGTCCCATATAAATTCAGGTAAAAACTCTAGTTCTGAGGGTATAATGGAAGGAGATGAAATTTTTATTTTTAATGTAATTAGTTAAACCACATTTTAGTTATTAACATAAGCTTTAATATTCCTTAACGTAATAATATATAATACAATTTTTTATATATAAATATATATATTACATATATATGTAAAATACGAAAGTACTCCAACCTCCAAAGTAAAAAATATAATGTATGGCAGTCGTTCTGGCAAACGCAGTTTTTTTTTGACACTAAGATGACCATATGGACAGTGGATACTCTTACACCGCCACTACATGGTGACATTCCTTACTCCATTCAAACTGTTCAAAAATTAAACTCTTAAATTAAAATAAAAGCTAACATAATTTTTTCAAACGAAAAACATTTTACATTAAATTTACGTTTTAATAGTCTTAAAATATATTCTTATGCTATCTAAGTACCACCTCCTTCAGCAATGATTTAGGTTTGCTATTACTTTTTACGCACTTTTGGAAATATCAAAACATTGTTTGTTACTATTACAAATACATACTTATTAGTTAATTAATGACTTAAAATAACGTGTTAATATGTTTTTTACAGATTTTCACCGCTGCTGTCCTTCTGTACGCGTGTTTGTCAGCTATCTACTACGCGAAATTTAACCCTATCCTGCCTGACTATAGTATGGAATACGACGACTACTTCTTAGAGCGATCTGTGGGAAGAAAGGCAAGAAGTTTGGAATCTTGGGAACTCCCATCAGGACTTAGCTGGATGAACTCTCAGACCTTTCAGTTCATTTTGGACGCTATATCAAAACATTACGAAGAAAAATAATATTGTAAAGCCATAGATTATTATATTTTAAGCGGGTGTAAACGAATACAGGGCAACGACGGCAATATTACTGAGTGGATAAGAGCCTTTGTTACCTGGTATCACGTGAAAAAAAAATCTGATTTGACGGAAGTTTTGTGTTTTGTAAGATTTCTTTGAATCGGATTTTTAATAATATAAAAATAGCATTTAAGATATTTGGTGAGAAAATAAAGTTGTGGTTGTAATTTTGTAAGTTGTCAATTTAAGTTCCTCGATTTGTTATGATGTTAATGTTTGCAATAAAATAATATGATTACTTTTAATATAACTATATTCCACTTATTTATAATGTCATATTAGCTCTTTAGCATTTTTATAACACAAGCAGTAGTGCAAGGCGAGGAATGAAACAGGAACTTATTTGATGTTGTGTGGAACGTCGAGCACGGCAGTAGAGAAATTTTTTTTAATTTAGGTACAACTTAGAGTAAAACACATTATTCATCAATCGTAACGTAATAAGCGTTCTAAGAAGGATTTTTGTATATAATGTTTTAACTTCGCTACGTTCTCCATATAGTTTTTTGTTAAATACGTTTCATGTATGCGTAACTACGTTGTCATACAAACATTTGTTCATTGCGGGATTCGACCCAAAAAAGGTTCAATTGTTTATTATATACGAAAAGAAGTCTATACTTTATTGTTTAATTTTTACATTACAGTACAAGCAAATAGTCAACTCAATTTGTACTAAGTTTGTAAATAATATTTATGAATTTTTGTTAAATACGTTTCTTGTATGCGTTTTACATTACTACTTTGTCATATGTACAAACATTTGTTCATTGCGGGATTCAACAAAATGGATTCATTTTTTATTATACACGAAAAAACTGAAATCAATAATTTATTGTTTAATTTTACTTTATAGTATAATAAAAATCAACCTCAATCTGTACTAAGTTTGTAAATAATATATTATGAAAGTATTAGAAACATACATTTATTTCAAATAAGTAGATAAATAACAATAAAAAAATATTTTAAATACAAACTCTTTATTAACCACAAATATCATGGAAATAACTTTAATGTGCAAGTAAAGTCTGGTTAAGACGGCAGTGTACGTGACGGCTTATTTTGTTATTGCCCACGGCCCGGCGTCTTGGGTTCGACGTCCGGTCGCCGCCGCTCTCCCCGGCTAGGATACGTGGAGGATGACGCTATTACTGCCGAAGTCGTGTTGAGCTAGCCTTTACGTAATAGAGATTTTTATAAATTACTTTTAAAAATAATATATTTAATTAAATTGAAGTGTTTGTTTTAAATATTTATGGGTTAATATAAATATTTGTTTCAAGTTTTAAAGCAATTCGTATGAAATAAATATCCTTACAAATAGGCTACGACTTAACTGTATTGTGAATAATAAATATAAAATTTAGCAAATACCGTTTTATAGAGTTTGGAATATTTTATAGAAAAAACCGTGTTTATATTATAACTTTGCAATTGCCAGATATTTTCTCTATCTCAAAAAGATCATCGTCGTAGTAACAGTAGCTTCAATTTAGTGGACTACACATTTAAGAAATCAGTTATTGAAAGAGCAATTAAGCTATCCAGCATTTTTGTGGTAAGCCACGTCATAGTTTCGTTTTGTGATTTACTATCCGTTGCCCGCCTTCGTCAATAGTCACGACTTGGCTTCGATATGCATCCGAGTGTAACATATAGTTCGGAAGGACCTGGTAAAGTTGAATAAGTTACCAAGTGATTCTTTGTCCGCGGCCGGATTGGCGCTAGTACAGCGTTCAAGTGCAATGCGCCGGCACATCGAAGGAGCCAGTGTTGGTTTGCGGTTGCACGTTACTGCTACACTCGTGCGTCCATGCGTCCCACATTTAAATTTCGAACGACTTGGCTAAATACAATCCAGCACACAAATTGTTTCTATAGAGAAAATAAACTAGGTGACTGTGACTGAGTGAACTCTGTGTTTTTGAAACGTTTCGTTAGTTATTTTTCACCGTTAACTTGTGCTTTGTTGGATATTTACATAAAGGTAATCACAATATTCACGTCAACTGAAATTCAGTTATTCATTACTTAATTCTATTGTAACGTAGATACACTATGTTTATGTAATGTTATAAATATACGTTAACTAAATGCTTCTTATACGAAAGACTACACCTATAGTCAAGAAAGGATTAACTATTAACAATCCTTGTGTTTTTACAAATATTTTTATTTAGCTCGATTTAAGTAATACATAATTAATTACGTGAATTTAAGAACGAAATTAGCTGAACAAATATTAATTATACAATAGAACAAGCTGTAGCCCCTATAAAAGACATCAACGGGATACCTGCAAATCGTTCTAGGCATATGCAGTATAAAATATTTTTTAAATGAAAGCCAACCTTTTTACTTCTAAGGAATTTTTAACAAAATAAAAGTGACAAACAAAATCCACCTGATGACAAGTGGACCATAGACATTGATATGTGTCTTCGATTAAATGAAGATGCGGTGTCACTCTAAGGATAAAAATGTTCGTTTGTTCGATTCTCGTTACCAGTTAAAGAAAAGGATCTTCGGCTTTTTACACTCACTATACAAAACACAGCAGTACTAAGCTGCTCTTTCATCCTGGTATTCCGTGAAAGCGGGGTCCTTCAACCGCTCAAACGGACCCACCCACACATAATAAAATGTTTAAATATTTAATATTTACATAAGATATATATAATGCTAAAATAATAACCTATTTTAATTTTTACTTGTATCTTCTATCTAATTAATACACGATACGTGATAGCTCAACAGCTAAGCGCCGATTTTACCTAAATATCATAGTACACAAGCAACCATCGAGTAATGACATTGTTTGATGCATTTACGCGCTGATTTACCACGTGATTGCCAGTGAAGTGAAACAAAATGAATCGTGAGGAAACTTGTATGTCTGAAAAATAAAAATTCCATTCAGCAAACATGCATCAGAGCAGTGTTGCTCCTTAATCGTTTCAGAAATGAGAGGAGGCATGTGTTTAGCTTCTACATATATATGCTGGAACTTTCCTATATTTTATACATACTGAATCTAAAATTTAACCACTTTAACCATTTCAAAAAGACTTCATCAGCACATAAACTGGCTGCTGTTGGACGTGGGTACTCGTCCATATGTAGCATAGTGAGGACCTGCGATTATTGCCACGTTTTCCAGGTCGACTTACAATCACAGTACCAGATATCTTGCTCATTGGAAGTCACACCTGTTACAGGCTTAGATATTTAATATTTATATACAACGCCATAAAACCATTTTTAACGCTAAATCTTGTGGGATTTACCTAGAACACCCCTTTGATACATAAAAAGACGATATTATTTGATACGAATACACCGAGGATCCTAAAAGAAAATTTAAGTTTGTAGGACTGATAAAGACTAGACTAGCTGATGACTTCATTTTACAAATTTCTACTCACAATAATTTTTTTCCTTCTTTTAAAGTTTTAAATCTTCTAGATTATAATTCACTCACCTTAATATCTGTTTAAAGTTTGTATATATGCAATATATATATAATAATAATAAAATAATTTATTAAAAACTTTAACTTGTAGTACATATAAAAAAAAACAATCTTACATGAGATACATTACAAAAATACTAGTGAGGGTGACGTTCTGTTCTCCTTGCTAGACTAAGAAATAGCCTGCATTAAGGAGATTCAGTCCCTTACCCCCTTACAAAAGTGATGGGGTGGTGGGAAAGTTTTTTTTTTAATAAATTATATATATATATATATATATATATATATATATATATATATATATATATATATATATATATATATATATATATGAGCGTGTGTGTGTTTGTTATCTGTTTTTATAAACATTCTTCTATAAATTTCAATTTTATCGTTTTATCAGTATTTCTGCATTTTATAGTATGTGCAAATATAGTAAAAATAAATAACTAAGAATAAAAAATAGACCTCACACCTAACAAATTATATAAATATCTTCTATCCCACTATAAAGTGACAAATCTTCCCGACCTGTTAAACCTTGTTTTATCTGTGCACTATTTCGGGCTGATGGTGACGATAATGAAGAGTTACGTCTTTAAGACATTGTTTGATCTATGAGTCGTAAAATATATCAAATTTTATATTTTGGTATATATTAAGATGTTAATTAACTTAATATACAATTAGTGTTAAATTCACATCCATTTTGGTATGTAATGCAATGAAAAGCAGACAAAGCCCAAACTTCTTCCGCCATGTCCTACTGCTGATCAAAATATTAGTATACATATCTAAATCAGATTTCTAAATTCTAAATAATATGAAAAGTATTTCTTAGCCCTGGTCTTAAAATTACTAAAAACCGTTTCATTAATAATTCTTCTATCTTCCTATAGTATTGGTGACTTAGAATTTTTCTTTTTATGATGCCACTAAACGTTATATGTAAATTTATATCATCATTTGTTTACAATCTCTAAATGCAGAGTGGCAATAAAATTCGGGATCCGTTATTGAATAAATGAATATTATTAAACAGACCGGTTTACTTGCACCAGTTGATGATAAGTCACTAACAAAATTACCAAGTTATGGTGAAATTTTTAACTTAATATTTTAAAGTAAATAATATGCAAATTTAAAAGTAAATAATATAAAATTTCAGCTGTTTTAACGACATTCATTTGGCCGCTGGTTATCAAACATAAACACAACTGCTGAATTAGATTAAGTTTCTATTTACACTCACTAACTTGAATCACGATTTTTATTCCAAAGCTTTCTTAATGTAATGTCAACCTGTCTTGATTCGCTTACGAAAAAAATAATGTCTTGCACTGATATGAACCCAAATCACGGGTACATTTGAATCGCCTATTCCGTAAGCAGGCTTTATTGGAACCCGTTAAGCTGTTGAAACGTGTCTGTGACATATAAATAAACATAATAATATAAATAGTGT